AAGAGCGTATGTTGTTTGTAAGCATATTTTGTTACTAACTTGTTATAACTGAATACATTGTTCGCAAAGTTGGAGAAAACATTGCCAAAGTATTGGTATGGGGTTTTTTTTGATATCCAATGCTGTGCATTGCTCCTAGATGACCTTGAAAAGAGGAAACGTCTACGGCAGAAGAAAGCTCGTGATGAACGACGACGTGAACGCAGAATTGAGATAGAAGAAAACAAGAAACAGGGCAAATGTAAGTCATGATTGAGCATAACTGGTGGATTTCCAGTCATCTTTGAGCTGATCTCTTGAGCTATAGGATGAACTCTTAAGGCCTTTAGTTTGTAGTGTATGCTTAGAAAAAGATGACAAGGTATTAGAACCAAAGTCAGTAGACATAGAATGCAAAATATAAGCTGTTTTAGTCAGGATGTTAAATGATGTTATGTAATTGCTGCATACGTGCAAATTTATGGGAGAGGCAGAGGGCATTCGAGGGCACAGCTATCTCTGCGGTGTATATAGCTCTTAGGATTCTCAATTTGTGTTTCTATAGTAGTCACGAGAGAGTGTGAAAAGTGAAGAAGGAAAAAAAATGCCTAGGAACTGCTTCCATCCAGCAGCAGGGTTTGTACCGGTCTCTAAAATAGGGGGTGGAAAGAAAATTGAGCTGTCGCCTCCTAGGCTTCCTAAACCAACTTGCATATTGACAGTCCTTCCCCACATTGTGTAGTGCTTTAATTTAAAACCTCTTTCTAGATCCAGAGGTCCATATTGCTTTAGAGAATCTGCAGCAGTTCCCTGCTTTTACCTCTTGCCCTGGAGAAACTACCAGCATTGATCATCAGAGCTTCTGTCTGTCTCCTCTTGGCAGAAGCCCTGTGTTCCAGACAGGTGAGCATCTGGAAAAACACATCACATCTAGCTCTTGATTGTTCTTTTGGGATCTACTGCTGAGGTCATCACACTAAACTTTCTAAATACTGATCAAAGACTGCTTCTTTCCTGGATTGCCTATGAGATCATACACAAAAGGCTGACATGGCTAAGAAATACTCTGGTCCTTTGTCTGGTCCTTTTACTACCTCTATTGATAGTATGAGATCTGCACTGTAGTTACCCCATCTTTTAAATCTTTGCTGAGGCAGAAGAAAGGAAAAAAGATCCCCCAAAAGGGGAAAAAAAAGTGTGATGCCAGGAAAACACTACTGGCATTTTTTCTTTCTACCCTCTCCATCTTCCCCACTACGTTATACTAAAATAAAACATAGTTGGTGAGCACTCAGTTAGGTTGATGTCCAGTGATGCTTTACCAGATGTTTTATCTTGCAGTTCATAAAAAATATTAAATAGAAACTATTCTTAAATGTTTTTCTCAAACCTCCCCCCCCATAACACCCCAAAATAAGCAAACAAAAACCTCAAACAAAAAAAACCCCAAACTTAAATCTCCCTTAAATAAAAAGATTGAGGAAATTTGAAAGGTCCCACCGTGTGACTAATGGATGGAACTGATGAGATAAAAATGGTTAATTACACAAGATAATAAAACTTTATTTGTTTCATCCTGATAAGCAGGATAATGAGTGCCTTTGGCACATGCAACTGGCTTTAATTATCTGCTGCTTTCTCTGTAGAGTCTATTCCAACTCCGCTGTCACCTGCTGCCAGCCAGGTTAGCCCATTGCTCTGTGGGAGTTTAGAAGAGGAGTCTCCCTTCCCTTCCTTTGCCCAGGTAGGCCATGTAGCAGAGTAAATCTTGTCAGAATTGCCTGTGTCTCAGGTGGGGATTAGCCACAAAACCAATGTGGGGTAAATCTTATGGAGACAACATAGGGTTTGAGTGCTTGAAGGGGTTCCTAGGTTTTCTTGCAATGTAGGGGATATGTAGGATTGTTCTAGTTCATGGGATTTTATCGTATCTCACAACTTTTTTCATAGATGTTGAGAGTTGGAAAGGCAAAACCAGAAACATGGCCCAAAACAGCTCCAAAGACAAGAGGTAAGAAAATTTGGTATTACTACTTCAGGTTCTTTGCCATGCATCTAAATCCAAGAAATCTTGTAACTTCACAAGAAACATCTGGAGTGTGGAGAGGCATTTGCACTGCAGAAGTTTATAGAGCCTTCTCCCTCCCAAGGCCCTTTCCTTCTTTCAGATGAGAACACTCTGGCACTCCCTGTGCCAGTGGATAGTGATGGAGAAAGTGACAGCTCTGACCGCATACCTGTGCCCAGCTTCCAGAATTCCTTCAGTCAAGCTATTGAGGCAGCCCTCCTGAAACTGGACAAACCGTCCACAGCTGATCATTTATCAGGTAAAAGGCGGGGGGGAGGGCATGAAAAAATTCTGAAGTGAAAAAATTGAGTGTTTCCCCTTCTTCCTCTGGGAGAAGTGAGTGTGGCAATTTTGGGGACCAAAAATTGGCCACAGAACAGTTCTGAAAATTGTCAAGTTGTGGTTTCTGAACAGCTTGACTAGGGCTTCTGCTTAAAGTAGCTCTCATAGTGGGAGGTGAGGTGATCTCCAGCTAGCAAAGAATCCTGTCAGGACAAAGATGGCTTTTGACAATCGTGTTTGCCATGTCTCTGCTGGAACTTAATTTAAGCTTTACCTCAAGGAAGTTCAGGTTATGCACTTTTAAACTAAAAATACCTGAGCTGCTGAACTGCCACTAAGCTTGACCAAAATGTCAAGGTAACTGCGAGCTGAAATTTCAAACTTAGGAGTCTGAAGCAAAGTGAGATGAACTTAAACCTCCGAGCCTGGTGCTGGCTGATAAAACTAATTTATAATGCTCAGTTCTGATGTTTAGCTTTGGCTTCTGTTTGGAGGCTGCTCTGAGTGAGGGAGGGCCTGGGAGTTTCGGTGAAATTGAGTATCAGCTCCAGTTGTAGTGGGGTTTGGACATGGATGAGAACGATATTTGTCTGACAGACAAACTGATGCATGCTTGCAGTCCTAGGATCTGCTGTTGCAACTTTAGAATCAGTTAGGCATGTTTATAGGTGTGGTTTAGGTGTGATGGAGTCTCTCTTAGTTTGTCTGCAGTAATTTTTTTGTTAAAATTTTGTTACCTGGTACTCAGTGAGTTGATAGGAAATGTCATGGACCTGTAGAAGTCATTTAGGCTAGGGAAGACCATTTATTATTTCTGTGTGATGTTCCTGTTCCATGAGAAGAATGACAGTATCATTTTAATTCTTCACAGAGGAAAAGGGAGGCAAGAAAAGAAAGAAACAGAAGCAGAAGCTATTGTTCAGCACCTCTGTTGTTCACACAAAGTGATTCTGCTATTCAAGAGAAGTTCCCTCTCCTGGTTTTCTTTTCATTTTGCTTTGTTTTGCTGCTATAGTTTTAAGTATTTAAATTTGAACAGACTAAACTTGTGTTTCCAGGGCTTCTAGGGGGTTCAGGAGGAAACCATGACAGTTACATGTTGAAATAAGATCTTCTGATTCCAACTGCTTAATCAGTTTATACTGAAACAAAGTTTTGAAAGAAACAACCCAGAGACAAATCAGCCAAGGCTTCTAGTCTGTGCAAAGTCTGTTCTTTTGGCCTAAATAAGCAGTATGAAAGTCTTTACTGCTGAGTGGCACTGCCAGAATACTGCAATATTACCTAAGTGAAGAGGCAGAGAGCCTTTATTTCTCTAGAAGTATTCACAGGCAGAAGTCCATCTGACTGACAGTAGTGCTGTTTCAGTAAAGCTGTTGAACTGCTCTCTTGAGAAACTGGTTTCCGCTGGACTGGAGATGGGCAAAAGAGCTTCCTGGCTTTAGAGTGTTAGCTGCTATATCTGTTCTTTTTCTAAAGAGCAAGAATTCCTCCTGTTCTCCTGGCTTGGAAAGATTTAAAGCTGAGGTGAGTGTAAAGCAGAACTTGGCTACTTGGTTTTGAAGTGACTCTTGCTGAATTTGTGTATTTCAAAATGCGTACTGGCACTAGTGGTAGAAGGAACCTCCTGGCTTCTCTCAGTTGTTCAACTCTGTTTTAATGTGGGTGAGTGAGGCTGCTAATTTTGGTTTGTGTTTTTTTTTTTTTTCCCAACCATGGTCTACACATTCTGTGTAACCTGATCATCTAGAATAAACACTCCACCCTAGGGCTCTTGGTTACTACCTGAATATTTTGACAGTGGCTGCTCTTGAATTGGAAGAACAACTGATAGCTGGAGTCTCTAGATAACTTTTATCCCCCAGCAAGAAACCGGGGTCTCTTGTACTGCGATAAGGGCCTGTATCTGCTTGGTTCTGGGACGTAAGTTGATCTGCACTAAGCACCTGGAGCTATAAACGTGCCTCTTCTGGACCCCTCCCCGCTCTTTCTTTGGGTGGTCACATTCTGCACTGCTTGTGGTTTGATTTGAGCTAATGAGTTAAGTGGTGTGGATTTTGTTGAATAAAATGAACTATAGGTGTAATGTACCAGTCAAGGCCAACAGTTGCAATAAATCATACGCACACACACTTACAGTACTGCATGCTTCCTGAGCTAAGCGAACCATCATATCAGCGTGGAGCACAACACCGCTTAGCTGCACGGATGCAGGTCTTGCCTCCCTACTGCCAGATTTCATGCCAGGGAGCTGGTATGAAGTACCACCTCACTGACAGTGCAAGACTGAGAGGTGTCTTCCATTATCATCAGCCCCACTTGCACCAGTGGTCTGCCTGCATTTGCACAGGCTTTAAAAAGTTGATGGGCTCTCTCCCTCTGACACCATGACTGAACTGAGCATGGAAGTGTGTGTTTGAGACGCCTCAAGTCGGGTTTTCTAACAGCACCAGTAAAGTCATGAGTTGTGCCCCTATTTTAAAAGTTCGTCAGTACATTGATGCTTGATTTTGAAGCAAGGGGCTCCGTAATTATACAAGTGCTTCCTCAAGGCACTTAAGCATGTGCGCATGGGAAGCTAGTACCAAAGAGGGTACCTCACAAAACTCTGTATGAGGCTGTAAACCAGCAAGAAGGGGAAGAGGGGGACATAAAGAATACTTCAACTACTACAGGAGGATAGAGGAAACACTTGCAGAACATTCTGTGAAAGCAGCTTGACTTCACGCTTGGTCACAATTAACTACACTTAATGGAAAGACAGTACAGCTTGGCAAAGAGAGTGCAAAGAAATTAAAACGAGATGGCTGAAAGTGGTAACACATCTTGCTGTTAATGCTTCACATTGACCTTGGGAAATTGTTGGCAAGAGTCGAGAAAGCAACTAAGAGAGATTCCAGTATGGAGTTAACTCTGTTCACAGTACTATTGTTTCCTGTTTGTAACAGTCATTTTAAGCCATGGAACAGGAGTAACTACTTAATGTCTAACCAGTATCTGTTGTGTTCTATTATCTCTACACATTTATAGTTGACTTTTTCTTTGCATTGGGAAGAGACAGAATAGCTGGAGCTGGTGTAACTCACCTCCACATCTCACAGGCACTAGAACAAGTAAGGGAAGTGATGCGGGTGAGGAAGACTGTCCCATCAGCAGGGGCAGTCTCCGCAGGACAGCATCTTCAAGTTGTATCTTGTTTTCTTATGGATTCAAGAGATAATACCAGCAATGCTACTTTCCTCTAACTGATTGGTGTAAACTTAATAAATATCTAAGCAGTACTTGTACCTATGAGTTTTATAATGGGTCATACGGAGTTGAGCCTTACAGCTCTACCTTGCATTCCCCGTAATCTCTGCTCCTGTGTACACGACTGGTGCTCTTGTGACTTGGAACAGTGGATAGCCCTATGGATAACAGGTGCACTTGAAGATAAGGTAAAAAACAGTACTATGTTAATACCTTTTCTGTACTTGGAGGAGAATTAACTACATTCCTTGTCCATGCCAACTGCCTAAAGCTCATTTCTACCTCAGCACGAAGATCACATTGAGCTCCCACACTCCTTAAGAGTGCAGGTGGTTTTGACTCCTGGAGTGAAACAGCCAAGTAACCTACTTCTTTTTAAAAAAAAATTTATTTAAGAACACTCAGAATGGGGGAATGAAGTCTAAATATGAACAGATGCTTTTTCTGTCCCCTGCTTTAACACTGATGGTAACTGGTACCATCTTGATTACACAAGTACAAAGTAGAGGTGAACAGTAACTAGTAATGTTCAGTCTGTCTCTGTGCCATCATCATCTTCCTCGTCTCCACTTTGAGACTGCTCTTCTGCAAGGGAACAGCTCAGCAATGATTTCTGTATACACAGTCTTTCCTCTGCAATAAAGAGAGCAACACAGTCATTACTTGATCTCTTCACATAGGCTGGAATATCCTCAGCTGCTAAAGAAAAGAACGTTCCTCAGGTCAAGAATTCAGAAGTAGCCCAGCATGTCCTACAAAACTCCCAGGAACTGGGGCCACATTTTAGGAAAGTGGCTGGAGAAACTCACCTTCATTTGTACAGTTTTGCAACAACCTCAGCAGCTGTCTTCTGTTATATTGAATTAGAAATTTCTGACATGTCCTTATAGTACCTGTAGGAGTCACAAGAACAATATGTATCAATCTACAAAACCAAGTGTTTCAGAGCTGCTAGTGTATTTTCTGAAGATCATTGTATTGAGCGACAAATGCCCTGGGCAACAACTTTATTGACGCAAGTGCTAAGAAGTGGCTGTAGACTTCATTTCCCCACTGCTGAGGTTAAGTGTGGACTAATAATTTCTAACATGTAGTGCCTGTTCTTTGCCCCGGGTGGTTAATTTTCAGGACAGGGATGGTACTATACTTTGAAAAGACGATCTTTTGAAAAAGAAAATATTGTAATATGGTATTTGCTGCTCTGGTTTTGTGTTAAAATGTAATTCAGATTCAAGCAGAATTATTGAGGGTCTCAACAAAGAATTCCTGGTGCCTGTTTCTTATTTAGATCTGCTATAAGCTGCTAAGTTAGAATCATAGAATGTTTTGGGTTGGAAGGGACCCCTAGAGGTCATCTAGTCCAACCCCCTGCAGTGAGCTGGGACACCACTAACTAGATCAGGTTGCTCAGAGCCCCGTCCAACCTGGTCTTGAATGTTTCCAGGGATGGGGCCTCCACTACTTCCTTGGGCAACCCATTCCAGTGTCTCACTGTAAAGTTAGCAAAGCATACGACGGGTCTGTCGCACCCACAGCAGCAAGATGGGGTTCTTCCATATTGGCAGGACTGGTGCGATTAAGCCCCGTGGCCTCCCCCCAGGGACACCGGGGCAGCTCGGGCAGCGGCTGACCTCCGACGTGCAGGGTGTTGAGGGAGCAGTGGTACCGCTGGTTCCGGCTCTCCAGCTGCCTGACGAAGGGGAGCGCGGAGCAGAGCAGCCTGTAGGAGTCCTTGCGGCACCGCAGGAGCACCGTCCCGGTGTAGGCGTTCAGGTACTTCACTGCGGGGGCACAGAGGCACCGGTGAGCCCGCGCCCCCGCGCCCCGGCCCTTCCCAGAGGAGCTCCCCCGAGGGGCGCGGGGAGGCGGGGGCAGCGCGTCCCGTCGGCACCTGTGAAGGAGATGGAGCAGCAGGCCAGGCCGTAGTCCCCGTGCACCCGCCCGATGGCGTCCCTAACGGCGAGGCTCACGGCGCGGTCCTCGATGCACTGCCGGCACCGCGGGTCCTCTGAGACCACCTCGCACAGCACGTACCTGCGGGAGAG